AGCCACAGTATTTATCTTTAAAAATCTAACACATTATGAGACTAATCAATAATCATACAGTTTTCAGTGACAACCACTAATTAGTTGACTTAAATTTCACTAATTTTAAAGTTATAATTAAAAACTAAACTAGAAGTAACTGATAACTTTGAAAATAGTTTGACAATTAATTTGTCAGTCTCTTATCAGTAGAGGTAATCAAAATATTTTCCGGAAGCAAATATATCTTCAAATCATGGAATATGTTTCATAACGAGGTCTAACAGTGGAATCCAGGACGTGAATTTTTTCCTATTTGGGACCCGTCAGTATGATGCACATGTATTCCAAAGTTAACGTTTACCCCGGAGCTTGAACCCAGTAACTTTTACTTCAAACTTCATCGTACTATCCATTTAGATACAGAGTTCACATAGTCACTCACTTGTGCAATGGGATGAATTTCGATTAATACATATTTTTGAAATCTTTTCATTGATATTTGGTGTTGCAGTTGATCAATTTTTTTATATGTACATTATGTGTGGATTACATATGGGATGCATATACACCCAGCCTAAATGTCTAAAATATAACGAAACACGCGTCCTAAATTCCCCTGCTAGCCACCAATCATCTCTGCTTATGAAGCTTGTGATTTAAGACAATATCGAACCGATCAGTACAGGATGCACATTTGTCAAAAAGGGACTGATCAATTGCAGCTCTAAAAATCAGTGGAAAGATCCAAACAACCAATAAATATGAATTAAAATACATAGACTAAATTTATCAAAGCAACTTCGTCGGCAACTTTTATTAATGAAGAAACAGGGTTAGGAGTTAGATTTGGGGTTTTCATCACTAATTGACATCAGCCAAAATGCCGAATGGATGAATGAATTTCGTGCTCAAATTCAAGACTTGTTATCTTATATCTGATTGGTTCGTCCATAAATTGCAGTCTCATCACATCATTTTTATGCAAATTATCAATCATCTTAAAATAATTGATTTAATTTACTAATTATTCTTACATTAGAAATTCCATCCACAACATTGGAGAGTTATTTTACCTATTCTCTAATCAGTAGTTTTTATGGTTTTATTTCCAGTATTCATAGATTATTATAAAATGTCATTCGTCCTTAAATTTCTTATTGAATACATTAATTACTTTTTAAAATTTTTGTTCGAAAGTTAAACATGTTCATAGTAATGTGGATAAGTTGTTTAACATTCGGGAATCACTGTTAATTATTCATTTACTGAAAGATAAAATAACAAGTATCTACTTAATATTTTTTATCTAACTAACTAAATATCATAATCAGAGAGAGGTTTTGTGGATATTATAGTAATTCTATAGTTGAATTCATGAGTCAATTGAAGCTAGGCCACTATGAAGACCTGGAAACACGGAAAAGCCGTTTCGTCCTAGTATGGAACTCCCCAGTAGTTGAAGTTAGACATTAACACTATTGGATACCGGCTCAGTAGTCTAAAGGTTAAGAGTTCACACGCGAAACAGACAGATCCTGGGTTCGAATCTTACAGAGTGGGATTGTGAATACGAACTACTGAGAAGTCCCATACTAAGACGAAACGGCCGTCCACTGCTTCCAGGTTTTCCATGATGGTTTAGCTTCAATTGACTCATGAATTCAGCTATTAAATAAAATAAATATTTCTGAGATTATATTATATTTGTATTTAAATATATTGCACAGAATATATCTTTACACCATCCTCTAATTTACTATTACAACAAGCTCAATCAAAAGTAGTGTTATACATTGAATCACTGTCATTTTATCAGATTGTTAAACTGACAGAGTTAATCAATATAAAGCTTTTACACTATACATTTCATCACATCATCATTACCTGTTTTATAACAATTTTGTTCAGAATCTATTATTTAACATAGAGAATAATAATATATAATTTAATGATTAAACAGATATATTTCAGGCGAATTACCTATAAATCACATATAGTAAACAAAGAGCAAGTTACAAATTATCATCTTCATTGATTAAACAGAAAGAATTATTTGTTTAGTAATCTTAAAGTGCTAACAATAGATAATGGAGTAGTATAGTTCAGTAATGAACAATTCGTTTCTTTTTGTTAAGAAAACTAAACTTCACTATATACATATATATCTGATTGATTGCAATATTAGAGTAATATTTAATAAATCAGACGATTGCTATACTGGTTTATGCAATTCTGTAAAAAGATCCGAGGAAAAATATGATCATTTATATATATATGAACCTTAAATTATATTGAGAATATAACATTTTACTGGCTGTATGGCGTCACTATTCATTTAAATATGTCTATTTAGCAGATAACTACAATGTAGTCAATAAGTTTGTGCATCTAGTACATTCATACAGTTTTTTTTTAATATTCGTACTATATTCAACTCTTATTCAATTCACGTTTTTGATCTACTAAACAAACAGAGAGATAGGAAGTTTATATGTATGTTTACAGATGCACACATTGTTTAACAGATTTTTTGTGTGTATTGTACATAGCAATATATTGACGGAATCAAGATTGAATTCCACCATTCTGGTGTTAAAAAAAGTAAGTAGACTAATAAGATTATTTACAAAATAATGATTATAAGTGGATTGGGTTTTAGCCATAAATTTTTCTGTTACTTAAAAAATAAATAAGAAATTAAATAATATTGTATATCAGCATATTTTGGTAGGGTCACTGATATGTTTTTTGCAATGTATTGACAACGGGTATTGCTAGTAGTAGTGGTAATAATAAAAATAATTGTATCTAATACAACTATTAAGTTATGATGATTTAACATAAGATTGTCTGAATTGTTTTGTTCATTTAAATGAATGCCATCACTCACAACTCCATATCGCAGAAAATCATAGACCGACATCACTGGGCAATGTCATGAATTCACTGGAGTTAAAACCCCGGGTTATTGAATTTCAGCTGGGTTTTATTTATTTATTTGATCACATAAATATTGGTACAAAGACGCACCGAATATATATGCGTCACACAACTCATTTGATTTGTGTGTGGGTGCCCAAACCGAAGCAGATGGTTTTCTTAGGAGGCCACACCCAGAGCCTTCGACCTAAAGATCTGGTCCACAGGGCAGTGGAACAACGTCAGGAGATACAGTCTCATATTAGCCGGTGGCCAACAACTTGTTCATACACCATTTGTTGCCTCAGGGTACTGGGGCTCATGTACACCACTGGTTTGGAATCAGGGTTTTCCAACTCCCCTATGTGGACTCTCCATGTCCATGAGCTGTCTTAAAGCGCCAGACATTATCTTTTCGTATTCTCAATTCTATAAAAAACGCTCGCTATGCAAGAAGTCAGTAAGTAGGACTTCCCTGACAGTGGCCGTATACGCATGGCTATGTGAGAGCATTTCTAGAGGGAGGGATGACCCTCCCCACCCCCGACCGTAGCAGGGCATTTAGGGGCTAAACCTGATAGACATGAATGTCCCAATTTCAAACATATATGGGTACGGGCCTATGCATTTCTCAAAGATTACCGCATAGGACAAAATGACTGTTTAATAGTTCTATATTTTCATCCATTCTTAAATTTATACCAATTTGTGACGAAATTATTTTTAAATCTCAGTATTTTTCACAAATGATACAAATAAGCAATAATCATATCTTTGATAGCTTTATGAACAAATCGCAGAAATCATGACTGAAATTTTTTATATCAGATTAAGAATAAAACACCTAATCAACACTACCACTTGACAATCGACCCCTTAATCGCCAAATCAATCTACATATATTCATATTTGTATTATGATTCAGATCCACTAACTAATCTTTCTCAAGTTATAGTAATAACAATACTAATTGTAAATTTTATTCAAGGGAAATGAAAAACCATAATAATATTCATAAGTACATTACATGCTTATACATATCATGTTATTATGAAAGTTCTAAATGTCTGAATGGAAAATAAAAATTTTTTTGGTTTTTTTTATTAGAAAGAAGTTATTTCTCATTCCGTTCTTCAGTCACTTAGTAGAATAAATACAAAATGGTCAATTCAGAAGAACATAATTAAAACAGAATCAAAATTTGAAATAAAAACTAATCATAGGAATGTCAATTGTAGAATACTACCAGTCAGGATATCTTTTATTGAAGAAGAGTATGTTTGAAAGAAAAAGCAAATTCAAAAACAAACGAATTGATAGACATTAAAAAGTTCATCAGTTAAATAAATTAAATAATGCCTGACATTATTACATCATTTGTGTTATTATTACTAGACAATATACAATTCTCAATATATAGTAAACGGATACTGTTATCATGCAATCATACTACTGAATAAATACTTAAGTAGATTAACTTTGTAAACTAACTAGTTGATTTGAATGTTTTCTATTGCTTGATAATAAGTAGTATTGACGATAACAACCACGAAAAAAAAACCCAGTAATAATAGAATCAACCATAAGACGGAATGTATTTATTGACTGTACATTTAATTGTATGCATTACACACACGTGGATGATATACGCATAACTAATAAATTATAGATTTCACCGAATGTAAAAAATTTATCAGTGTATATATTTGCTATTTTAGTAATATGATGCAATATTCTGGTTAATAAATGGAATGATAACAGTTTGAATCAATTTCGTTCTATTTGTTTCATTATTACTATTATGACTATTTCTATTCTCTTTTTCTTTTTTATTTATATTCTGTATCCTTTCTATTTTAAGGAAAAATCAGTGTAATCAATTTTAACTGATTCTACTCTCAGTGAATAGATTGTGTTACAATTTATAGTCTAATGTGAACATTATGATTATCATTATGAATACAACTCTGAATATGATTATAATGAAGTTAAATATCACTGAATTATACAATAGTCATGGAGATTTGTTGTGTATGTTTGTATTAGATAAGAATAAAATATACAGTACAGTTTATTTTAATTAAGATTATGTATAGATTGGGCATTAAAATTTGTAATTTAATCACAGAATTCATGTGTTTTTTTTCTCTCATCATCTCTCATGTATGTATAAATACATGTATATTAGATCCATTGAACAATAAGCCAAAATGACCATATGATTTAAAGAAACAACTATAATTCATGTTTATTATTCACAATGATGATGTTATTGTTATTGTTTACTGAAAAAATTTTTTATTATCTTTTATTCTTTTTCTCTGTAGATATTTTATTGATGGAATCACTTCCCGGTTGTTTACAAATTGACTGATCATCTGAATCGGTTGACTGTACAGACAATGATTCACTAATAATTATATGCGAAGAAGAGGGTGATGTTGATGAAGATGGTGATGGTGATGATGATGAAGAAGAAGATGATGGAACAGATTGATTTATTGATTTTGGTGATCTAGAATTTTGTTGTAAACTAGTTAGCGCATCAATAGAAAAATCAGGGGATCGTTGTTCTGAATTTAATTTTGATTTAGACATGATTATATCAACATCTTCATTTATAACATCAATATTACATGAAGTAGTATCATTGTTATTATTCTTACTAGTTATAGTAGAATTATAATTCGGATTTATTGGATAATGATTAGTTGTAACAATATTGTTATCATTTAATTGTGGACTTGATGTAGTGACATAATTTCTATGAGATGTATCTAAAGGTAAAGAATTCTGATGAAATAACGATAAAATATGTGATAGAAATTGTGGATATTGTTGCATGTAAATAGCTAAATTTGCGGTATAATTTGACAATGGATTCATAGAATTAAAATGTGATCTATTCATTGATTCATTTGGTTGTTGTAAATATGGCATTGAATTTATTGAATTTTGAAAAGAATTTTGTATTGTTGATGTGGTTGCTAATGAGAATGACTGTGGTAAAGATGAATTAGATGAAACTGAAGAATAATTGGATAATTTTTGATCGAATAATTGATTTTGAATTAATTGTGATGTCAAATGATTTGTCCAATTTGAAAGAAATTTATTCAATGGACTAGAATTGAACTGTTTATTATTATTATTATTATTATTATTATTATTATTATTATTATTATTATTATTATTATAAGTAGTAGTATGAGTAGATGATCCAATTTTTTCCGGATCAATAACTTTTTCAGATTGTGATAAATAATTAGAATTTTCATGATTTATAATTGTATGTTGATTAATAGTAGGATGATTAAAATATCCAATTGATTCACTTGAAATAACTGTTACATTTGGTGGAATTTCATTGAGTTTAGAAAAATTATTTAAAGTATTACATTTTAAATCTGTATAAGGTGAAGAACATAAATTATTTTTATTTTTTAATGTAGATGAACATAAAAACATTGATGATGAATGATGTTGTTTTGAGTCGATACCTTTTGGATAATATAAATTATGTTCATTATTTACAGAGAAATCTGTTGTATATATATTATCATTAGAAGAATAAAAGTATTGATTATGTTGATGTGTTCGACGTATTTTTCCAACTCGACCAGTAAAATCAATTAATCCTTTCGATCCATTACCTGAACCAATGAAAAATAAAGTACAAAGTATGTTGTAATTAAGTTGTATATTTTAGAATAATCAACTCTATGGAAAAGAGAAATAAATTATGTAATTTTTTTTCCTAAATTTTTATTAAAGATGGATAGCAGCTATCAGTAAATATCAACAAGTGCGTTTTATCTTATTTGAGAATTGGTGTCTAAATATACTTAAACCTAAGTGTTAATATTCACAATGAGACTTGAATATTCTGCATTTTCAGTAATAATTTACATGATATTTGAAAGTTTATTATTCACTATTCTAAGTCATATTTAATGTGACATTCGTTAAGCAAGATGTAAACAAACGTCGCAGATACATGGTTCTTTAGCAGATTCCAAAGGACAGTTCTTATCCACTGAATCAAAGACAGGACTAATATCAAGAAACACAACGATTGTTGGGTTGTAGTATGTGTAAAAATGTTCTTGTATTTAGGGGAGTGAAAATGTGATCAATGTACATATGGTCTGGAAGTAAATTTGTTCCTTGAGGGTCACTTCTTCATAAGTTCTGTACGATCTTCAAAATATATTGAAAGAAAATAGTTTGGAAGCAATCAATAGTAAAAGTCCATTACGAAATTTGTTGCATAAATTAAGTAGGCCCTTTTGAAAGATTGAAACAATGATAACTTAACTTTAAAATAACAAAGCACTTTCTCTTTCCCAGACAGAAAACAAATTAACAGTACTTCACTATAACCTTGAACACACGTATTAAATCTAAATCACATATCGATACTAAGACATTCAAACCTGTATATTTTCCCATTTGTATCAATGTGCAAACATTAGAGGAGAAAAATGAAAATACTGCACATGGATTCTGAATAAACATATTATATGATAACAATACTCATAATAATAACAATGATCATCTACAAAAATGTATATAACCTATTGCTAACTGTTAGTAGATTGATCGATCTGAGTATCTGTTTAATGAATACAACCTACTAATCAGTGTGTTGTAGATTTACGTGGAGAAAAGCGAACACACTTCATCAAACTGCATAAATGGGACTTTTTGACTGAATAGACGTAACCTGATCATGAATTTAACCATTAAATTACTACAATCTCCACAAAAAACCCTTTTTGATAATAACCTGATTAAATAAAACTATCATCTATTATAACAAATACCAGTCATCGTAATGATATACTGTGCAGATGGTTTATAAGTGAAATACACGTTTTTCATCATAGTTGGAATTGATAAATCTTGAAAAAAAAATGTGGCTGAGAAACAAAAGGTAAAAGATAAAACTTTTTAATTATATTGAATAAATGCTCAAATGTTCAATGACATATTGTCCTCTCACTTTATATTCTTTTGATCTTAAGACACAATCAAAAACACTTTGATAATGAATAAAGTTTGCTCTCTCTCTCTCCATCCTTCTTATCCCTTTCTACTTCTTTTATGTTACGAACCTTAGCAACACATGAACATTTCATGCTTTTTTAATGATAGATAATATTAGGTGTAGTAATTTATACTCAGCGGGAAAATGTGATGAGAACTTTTGTTGTAAAGATTCACGTGTAAAAATTTCATCATGAACTGATTCAAATACTTTATTATTGAGTTGATATTTGTTTCGTCAAGCATAATTTGTCCCAAATTATATTTCTTTTTTTAGAAAAAAAGGTATAATTTTACTAAGTTCCATTAACCTATTAATTTATGTTAACACGCGTTACTGATACGTATGTACACGTATATGCACACTCACACACAAACACAACATATTTCTATGTCATCAATGGTTTGCCACTAGGTTTATTATAACCAAACTTCCTTCCCTTATCATGTCTTCTGACCTTTATAATTTATTCACATTATCTCCCAGTATCTCGTAATTATCATTTTTATTTTATGTGATGGATAAAGAAATAAAGAGAAAGAAGACTTATTTCTCATTTTTTTCTAACTTGTTCATTTATGTGAATGAGCATTTAGTTGTACAGGAAGAGAACAAACAAACAGTGACAACCAAATTATTGGGTCATGCTTATTACTGTTATTAAGGTTTTTATAGATTTACATTACATATACATATTTCAAGAACAACACCGTCTGATACATAGAACTGCCTCGATTCCTTTAAAAAAAGTTAATCGAATGAACAACATTCAATAAGTGTGCTAGAATCGATGCTTTCAGCTGTTTTTCCGTTCATTTAGTGAGGAAAGTTTCATGTTAGAGTGTGATTTTCATTAGAGATTTCATTGCAAGCTTTTAATGTTTAATATATTTGTATGTATTTTTGATTTTCATATTTGGTTTCTCCTCAATGATATTTTCGTAATAGACTTATTTCAATCAACAGCACTCATTCACTAAATGAACAGAAAAATGGCTAAAAGTGTTGAATACATGACAGTTATTAAACACTGATGACACTATAGATAATTTCAGCCACAGAATGGAATGCGAATTAGAAAATCGAAACAAACAGAGGACCTATACTTGATCGTTGATGTATTAGATGCGTTACGGACATATTTAGTGTAATTAAGATTTTTTAAATGAGTAACTACAGTATAAATATCATCCTTATTTTCAGGAATATAATCAGGAGGAGAGAAGAAACGGTATTCATATGACATAAACAACAGTAACCATTATTGTTATAATTAGATATGTTCACTGAATCACTTTTAATGTTTACAGTTCAAATAACTTATGTGGTCATAGTTTTCCAGCTGAATTTGTACACAAGGAATTTAGGTCACAAAAAGATCTTATATAGACAACCATCGAGAACCAGCACGCATTTAACAGGTGTTTTGTCCTGTCACTCACTCTACAGAAGTGCATATTCATGGCTCTACCACAAGGAATCCGACCCAGGAACTTCAGTTTGCATAAAAACGCTTAAAATTCAAACCATCAAATAGTGAATATGTTTGATTTCAATGGCTTTTAAGATATTACATTCCCTGAGGTGGATAACTGTTTCATACCTGACATGGTTGAACGTCACTGATCACGACTTCTTACTTGAACTCCATAAATTATACCTTGAAGCTAGTCACGAATGAGTACATGATTATAATTACTTTAGGAGGTTTGCTGAGATTACAAAATTATACACTGTCCACAAACCTCTATATTGAACACATGTATCGAGGAGACGAGAAAATTTTCTTGCAAAATTAATGATACATCTATCATATCCTATTGTCATATGTTTATTTACAATTCAGAAAACATAACTAAAAGTCCTCAGGAGTTAACTTTTTCAACTTCCTTGTCGTTTCACAAATTATATGTAACTTCCTCAATCTAAAATGTTTTGTCTGGAATTATGCACGACGAAAATATTAGCCAATTCAGCCCATTAGTAATTAACTAGAAGTTAAACTGATTATTGGAAAACACAAGAGATATTTTGATTAGCAGAAGAGATTGAAAATCGTTTTGAATTTGCTTGATCCTCGGAGTTTTCATAAGTCATCATGGAAATAGTTGGTGGATTTGACAATTCTGGACATTTATTGAAACTATTTTTCTATTTTACTATAAAACCACAGTAGCTCATTTCTCATATTTAATGGACAGATTGTGTATATTATAAAAATTAGTAAAAAATATATCAAGTTTTCAGATTACGGTTACTTATAACCATAAAAGATCTTCTGCACATTATCACCATAAGTTGTGAATTACTACTGGGTACATTCCGTTTAAACAAAAAAATTTCATTAAAACTATGAAGTGATCAATGTTTGACCACCATTGAAAGCCTGGAAGCAATGGAAGGCCGCTTCGTTCAGGTATGGGGCTCCTTAGCAGCACGCACCCACGACTTTACATACTCAACAATCTCTGCAACACTATACTGATAATTATCATGTGTTCACCGGTGACTAGCTTCGAAAGAGAATTCTGGGAGTTTTAGTGAGATTCCATGACCAGTAAAGTTCAACTGTGTTGGGTGTGAGGCAATTAATTATCCACAGGAGAAAATGGGGGATGATTGAACAATACCGTGGATTGATTAAAGTTAGACATTAACACTGTTGGATGGTCATCTATAGGTTAGGCGTTCGCGCGCAAGACCGAAGGCCCCAGGTTCGAGCCCTGCGTGCAGATTCGTGAGTGGTCATTTCTAAGGAGTGCATAGTAGGACGAAACAGCCATCCAGTGCTTTCAGGTTTTAAATAGTGCTCTGAAACTGTAACTCAAGAGTCTCCGCAACCGTATACTGATAAATAAAATATTCTTTTAATTTCAGTCAAACATGAATATTGGAAGAGGTTATTTATTTGCTTTTTTAGTGTTCAATTTATGTAAGAAATCAGTCATTTTTTGGCATTTTTTCCGTTTATGTAGTGGATAAGTGGTGTATGTAAGAGAACAGTTTATGCTGGAGATTTCACTTTAATATCTAACTGGCACTTTATTTACTTTTTTCATCCTGGAAGTATTGGATATCCTATAGTGTCGTGTTCACAGAAGACATAGGTAAATGGTTTTAGATAATTAAAATAGAATCTTCAGGGAAAATCATCCTTTTATTACCCAATAATGACATACTAAATGAATTTATAAATCCTCAAAACCACTGAATATTGCATTTTCATAAAACATTCAAAAAAGAATGGATAACTTCACATTAACTTCCTATAGTAAGTTAGTTTATAAAGAATTATGTAATTTTATAATAACCTTCATAGTATTGATATCAAATGGTGAATAAAATAAGTAATGTTATACTATCTTTAAATTAAGTTTCAATGTATTTTTATGAAATGTATACAGTTAGATAGTTATTGAAAGATGGAATTAATTAATAATAATGGTATTCTATAGGCCAAATAACATAGATAAATAATATGATTGTTTAATGATAACAAACTAAATGGAAGGTGTAAAGATTCTGAATTTGATTTTTTTGAATGAGGTCGTTGATTGGTATACATTGATGAAGAGTAGTAAATCTGTACTGTTTACTGGTGCCTAGCTTCATGATCCATAATAATAAAAAACTTATTTTTAAGTCTTATCATATACACAGTGTATCAGCAACAAAAAAAAGAAGAAATACTTACGTTTATTAGAATGTTTAACAGATTTTGATTCTGTTCTGTTCATATGTAATGGTAATAATTTTTTTATAGATAAATTATGTTTATCATTAAATGGTAAAGGTAAATGCATATCTAAATCATCGAATTCATGTTCATTTTCTGTATCTGATGATGTATTATTGGGACTTTCATATATTTCATGTGTTCCATTTTTTTGATCATCATCACAATTATGAATGAGAGGTCGATTTGAATATTTTAAATTATCTAATCGCCTATAATAAAAAGAATATAGTTATGAATGTAAATGTTACAATATTTGTTAATATTAATACTACTCCTACCATTTATTACTAATTTGTAATGAAATATTTTTATATACTGTACAAGAAAACATTATAAAACTGTCTAACCAATTACATCGTTATTGTGAACTAGGTTTCAGATGAACTTTTCAAGCGTTTAGGAAAAAAATATCATGACTTTTGGAGTTATTCCAGTTTTTCCAGTGGTTAAGATCATGAGTCAATTAAAGCTAGAACACCATGGAAAACCTGAAAGCACTGGACGGCCGTTTCGTCATATTGTAGGACTACTTAGCAGTGCTCATCCATGACTTCGCCTCGCGAGATTTAAACCCAGGACCTATCGTTTCGTAATATTTATATACTACTTATAAATGAAATCTTATCGTAAATTGAATTTTTCTCTATTTTGAATCATTTCTGCACTTCAAGCCATTCAGAATACTAATGATATAGTTTATATTAAATGAGAAATATCATCGTTATCTTATATATCGATGAACTTATTGTGACAGAAAAATATTGTTGATTAAGATAAACAGTTTTCATCAGTTTAAGGTTGTGAATCCTGTTCGCGTGGTTCGAACCCAGGGTATTCAGCCAATGTCCAGACCATTCAGTCGGCATCAAACGGTGTTAATGTCTAACGTCTACTAATCAATGAATTTACGCGACTATCTTTCATTGTACTGAGGTAGATACCTGTCTCTACCCGACACAGATTATCTCCACTGGTCACGGCTTCCCACAATAGGACGAAACGGCCGTCCAGTGCTTCTAGATTTTCAGTGATGGTCTAACATCAATCAGTTCATGATCTCAATCAAAAACAGTTTTCAATTGTTTATATCAATCAACAATATTCTTACTATTATTTTCAAGTTTTCTTCTTATATATTAATTATTTGGGGCAAATTACATTTTATTCTTTGAAATAAATTTTCAGATTCCTAATAGACATAAAAATTCACTATTCAAAATGAATTTCACCTTGAATTTGATAGTTACCATCAAATTATTGTAAGAAGAAATTTTTTAAAAATAAAGATAAATACAATGCATCATTGATGAACATGATGGATCTGATGCAGATGTGAAGGCGCGGATCGGTAAAGCAAAAGCAGCATATTTACAACTGAAGAACATCTGGAACTCAACAAAAAAAACTGACAACCAACACCACGGTCATAATTTTCAATACAAATGTCAAGACAGTTCTACTGTATGGGGAGGAAACCTGGAGGACTACAAAAGCCATCATCCAGAAAATGCAACTGTATATTAACATCTGTCTACTCAAACTACTTCTGATCCGTTGACCAGAAATTATCAGCAGCAATCTACTATGGCAAAGAACAAACCAGATTCCAGAGGAGGAAGAAATCAGGAAGAAGCGCTGGAAGTGGGTAGGACACATACTGAGGAAATCACTCAACTGTGTCTCAAGGCACGCCCTCACGTGGTATCCTGAAGGTCAAAGGAGGAGAGGAAGACCAAAGAACACATTACACCGAAAAATGGGAAAAATAAACAAAAATTGGATAGAACTGGAAACGAAGGCCCAGGATGGAGTGGGTTGAAAAATTCTGGTCAGCAGCCTGTTCTTCATTGGGTGTAACAGGCATAACTGAACTGAACAATGTATTACCTAGATGAATTCAGTAAGGAATCATAATGATTAAAAATGAAATTTACTATTTTACATGTCTTGATTGAATGAAATGTAATTCAATTTAATCTTCATTAAAGATACTGCATGTCTGATTGATATTTATTTTAATAGTTGAATTCATGAGTCAATGTAAGTTAGACCATCAATGAGAACCTGGAAGCACTGAACAACCATTTTGACTCATGAATTCAACTACTAAAAACTCTATGATCTCCACAAATCCCTCATTATAATGATATTTATTTAATAAATAGAATTAATTAGTTTAGATTAAATTAATATTTTTATTTGTTTGTAAACATTTAAAGTGATTTGTAACAGATGATATTTAGTAATATTAATTCATTAAAAAAAGTATCAACTGTTACTGGATAGATGATGGCCCGTTCGAACATCTGAGCTTCTTGTACCTGTCATATAGATACCTCAACAAGTTATCTATTTTTGCTTGTTTTAACATATCATTATGTTTATTCATCGCACATTCTATTAAGGTACGTTTATGAATAGTTTACAACCTTCCGCTGTACAAGTTACAAAAAAGCCCAATCAGAGACATCGTGTTTGCTGGTAATATGCAGAGAAAAGAATGTACATTATTCATATGTCGATTCCTGGACTGCTAAATTCTAGTTGGCGATCACTCAATATTTATCAATGGGATCGACCAAGAAGTAAGAAATGGAAACTTGTTGAAATACTTTGTTCTGAGAATTCTTTATTGTACCACAAAAAAATAATATTGAATAAAGCTACTAATAATGATAAAAATAAAATCTTATTTAAAACTCACTTTTTATCACGTCTCCCTCCACCAGATTCACGAAATCCTTTAGCGAATGGATTATTGTCTATTTTTAATTGTGTTATCTATGAATTTAACATGAAAAATTTAGATTGTAATATAGTTCAGAAAATTATGTCATATGAAACCATTCATATGATTAGTTTATTTTATTACTTACTATACATTTGATTTTTACATAAATTTACTTCTTAATCATAATGTATTGTTTCAACAGTTGAGATCATGAGTCAATTGAAGCTAGACCACTATGGAGAACCTGGAAGCACTCGACGGCCGTTTCGTCCTGATGTGGGACTCTTCAGCAGTGCGCATCCATGACCCCGCCTCGCTGGATTCGAACCCAGGACCTATCAGTCTCGCGCCAGGCGCTTAACCAACTAGACCACTGAGCCGGCATCCAACGGTGATCTCAACTGTTGAAATTAATACAATCTCCACAAAACCCCTTCTGATAATAATGTATTGTTTAAAAACTTAATAATAATAATAATAATAATAATAATAATAATAATAACAGTTAGTTTCAACTATTAATCTTAAAGTAGAAAGATATTCTTTGAATGAAATCTTCATCATTAATATTTGATTGTCATGTTACAATATGACTTGATTTATAGATTTGCATGGAATTTAAATCAAGTCGTCGTGCAATCTGAGTACATTTATATTTCCTTAACTGTAATCGAATTATTTTACTTTTCAGAAAGTATACTGATTTTATTTATTGTTTCTTATTTATTGAACTAAATGTTATTTATCACCCTTTTCTTATAAGAATGAATTCTAATGTAGAACTGATATAATAAACAAGCGAACAATTTGGATGAAAAAAATATATAAACTATTGAATACCGACTCAGTGAACCAAAGCTTAGACACAAGATGTTAGGCCTGTAGATCATGGGTTCATTTGCCAGCACAGTCATGAATGTCCACTCCTGAATAATAGTCAATAGAATAAAACGACATCATGTGGTCACTGTTTACTAGCTTTAAAATGTAATTTCTGGAGTTCTAGTAAGAAATCGTGATCAGTGAAATTCAACCATGCCAGGTATGAGACAGTTATCCACCTCAGGGAATGGAAGATGTTCGTGTAATATCTTAAATTGATTAAAATCAAAGATGTTCACCAATGAATACATAGTCAGTGATTTGACCCCCTACTCTGAAGTCATAAATGTGCACTGCTAAGGAGTCCCAAACTAGAATTCAACTTCTATCAAATGTTTCCTACTTTTCAGTAGTGATGCAACTAAAGTTAATTCATAATATAATTTATTTTTTTGAAAATTCGTTGATAGGATGTTGATAGTACATTTCAGCTAAAGAATTTAATGTTCAGAATACTTTATTCATATCCATATGACGTAAATAATAGATTCTATCCATCATTTTCAATGATTACTAAACTACATCAGTTTAAATGGTAATGTTCTTTATGTATTAAACAAAACTAATATAGGACATGTTCAGTTTTTTTTTAAAATTTGACTTACCTTTTCATTTTGATAAGCAGTAACTGCTAAGAATTGAGTTTCTTTAAATGTATAAGTATGAAATTTTGAATATGGTAATCTTAATATATCATTAGCTCGTACTAAATGAAATCTTGGTTGATATTTATGCATTGAATTGAGTATTGTCTAATGTAAAACAAAACAAAAGATAGAAATTTAAAAAAATGTGTTTAGTTGTGAATAGCTTTTTTAATATTGATTCATTTAAACGAAAGTTAATGGATAATGGCATGATAATTACTTATTATTATAATGACTATTATTATTAGTGTTGATGGAATGACTCTGGTTAAATATACATGACGCTAAAGTATAAAGTTGACAGATCAAATCTAATTGTTTGTACAATAAACTACTCGTTACATATTTACATAGTAGATCTGTAAAAACCTACTATCGATTGATCAATGAATTTAAAATATACCTTAATAGATTCACTAATAATTGCACTGTCTAATATACTCTGATTTCATTGATAGATGAAAGTTTCTTTGAATTTCATTCATCAAGCAGTAATTCTATAAGAACAAATTTCTTGATAGATCTTGATCTCAATTCATAATAGAAATGACTTATAAGTTGTATTATTTAATTCATGAAATGATCTAATTATTTATTATTGCATTCATTCAGTTTGAGATGAAGTTACCAATGTTGTAATAGAAGGTCAGTGAAGTTGACCATTTCGAGAATATGAAATAATTACTTATTGCCAATATAGAGTGAAGATTATGGCCTATTCTAAGTTGGAAGTTTATTTGTCTCGTGCTCTCTGTTAGGTTTCAAGTTCTTAAAATCATCAGTGCATAACGCTTAAGAATTTCAAATTATGATGGTTTGAAGTGGTTGATCTTTCTTGATTTCGGTTGATAATAATCTTTTACAAAAAAAACTACTCTTCAAGTGTAAGATAATTTCGTATAAAGAAAATAGTACAAATCTTGTGAAATACATTCTAAACCATTATATAAAGAGAAAAGACTTTTCTATGATAATCATCAGCTGGACAAAATTCTATGAATTCATAACTGATTGATCATAAAGATTTAATTTTGATGAATACACAACATTTAAAATATATTTCCAGTTATATCACAATAATCAACCAAATTTAGTTAAAATATTTTCATTCATATAATATATAAGTGATGGAGAAGATTTGTAGCTCAGGTGGATGATTTTGGTGGAGTTTTGTTCTCTGAACCAAACCATCCAGCTCAGAGAACAAAACTCCACCAAAATATATAAGTGATTTTATCTTAAAGTTACTTGATAGTGGCTAATTCAAATCCTTCATTCTCCCTTAAAATAAAGAAACTATCTTAAATATAACCATTCAAGTGTTGAAATATCGCGTTACTATCATAATAGTATTAATCCATAGTGAAATAATTTACTATAAGCTTACTTGAGTAATTAAATACTAGTCACACAATTGAATGTATATTTCATTATATCATTATGGCATAATCATAACGATAATCCATATGTATGGTAATAGATTGTAAATACCAGTCAATCAGATATTATTTCTATATCTCATATAAAAAATAATCAAGAAAAATAATTCACTTTGATCCGAATTTATTATTTTCTTGTGTATGTTACATGTTATTTGATCTCATAGTTAATTTTTGATGTCAATTATCACTTTCAAGCATCATTGAATGAGATTTGAAGCCTCCTTTAAATTGTACACATACATTTTGAATATGATATAGATATATACATATTTATCACTTAGTAAATTTCTTTATTCTTTGTTTTAGCACTATTTTATTCTACCTGTACAGTTCCTCGCTCACCTCCCTAACTAACAGCTATCACCACTACTTACTATATTTTATCTACCGTATCTTTATTGTCTTTCAGTGACAAAGTTCAGTTACTAAGACTTTGATGATATTTCACTAATTAATAGGAAAATATAATTTCAAGTTATCAGAAAAGACCTTAACTACTAGTTTAGTGCAGCTGATGTTCTCTAGATAATAAACTATACATAAATGAATAAAAATGCAGACATACGCGACACGCACATGTCTAATTCATATATAGACATATTTACAGTAAGGATTATATTCATTCGAGTAGATTAAAGTGGGAGATTGTAATTCACAGAAAAATTATTATTATTATTGTTATTGTTATTGTGTTTATAAATCTTTTGTGGGATATATTTTCACCATGAGTCCTTTGATGTCAGTTCGCTTTATTTATTTTCAAACGGAACAGAAAACAACTCAAAATATTGTCTGTTCTGTTAATTAATTCACCGAAAAAAAACACACAAAAAACAGAATATGCACATGCATGAAACATTTACAAGTCGAATAGAAATTATACATTGGTAACACTTTAGTTGTGGATTAGGTACGTTTTCTATTGTCACGAATCCGAGAAATATAGTCCTTCATATTCACAGACATGAATTAAAAATTTATTCAGAATAATACTTATATATTTTTTATACTGTAGCCATTACACGCTTTGAACTAAGTTAAATGTTGCCATTACCTAAATATTTCAATCGACACTTTGTTTAGCAGAGACAGACAGATTTTAACAACGTAGAACTTCGTACGTACGTAAATCAGTTCAAGTTGCCATACCACATTACCAGAGAGATACAATTGTCGATTCAAATCCCGTAGTGGTAGAGGTAGTAAGAGTATAAGTAGTAATCGGAAAGATTAGGGTTTGAAGATGTTATTCAACGAGTATAATCCAGTGAAATATGATAAACTTTGTTTAGCAAATTTAAACGAAATACTCCGATTCCATAGGCTGTTAATCATCATAAAATTATTTATTTTTCAGAATAGTGACTGAATATGCTTGTGAATGACTTAATTTTAAATTATAAAATATATGGTTAAGTACAAGATTTGTGTTTTTAATACGATTGCGTATGCGTCTGTTTATGCATCAGCTAGCATAAAACACAGTAACAACTATTCCTTTTTGTAATCTTTTAAAATCGAATTTCTATTTCATTGAAATCATGGAACAAACTTAATTAGACCACCATTGAAAACCTAGAAGCACAGGAAACCCACTTCGTTCTAGTATGGGGCTCCCCAATGATGTACATCAGCGATAGAGCTAAACATCGACAACGTTAAATCCTGACCCAGTTGTCTAAAGATCAAGAGTTCAGGTAGGGTTTTCATCGCGAACCGACATCAGCTATAATGCCAAAAGTCTATTTAGCTGAGATCCGAGACTTGTTATCTTATACCTGATTGGTTCGTCCATAAATTATAGTCTCGCCAATTTATCATCACTAGTCAATTGACTACAAATATAATTAACTAATCTTAATTACATTTTTCAACCGTAACAGTATAACTTATATATCAGATTATTGTTAATTAATGAAAATTATAAAATAAACTATTTCTTGAACTCCCGCTTATTATATGCTGATGTAAGTAGAATGTTTAAAAATTATATTCACTCCTTAATATATATTTCTAAATTTCTCATCACCAATGATGATCCGTTTAACATTTAAGACATTTTATTACAGATTGAAATCATGAGTCAGTTGAAGCTAGACCATCATGGAAAACCTAGAAGCACTGGACGGCCGTTTCGTCCTAGTATGGGACTCCTTGGGCAGTCGGCATCCAATACCTTACACGTAGGGATCGCACTCAAGATTGTCGATCCCCAACTGACTCATGATTTCAATCTGTGAAATTTCTAAAATCTCCACAAACCCTTTCTGATATTTTATTATAGTAGCCAAGATCTATTTACATTCTTTCAAAAAGATATATTCTAACAGAGGAAGTTCTAGGAATAGTTAGATTATTAAAATAATGAAATATATTTAAAAGCTACTTAAAATATTTTCATCACAATAAATATCACCAATTTATCGATTAGTTATTCTCTTTTGAATTGAATGTAAATATCTGTTTATATTTGGCAATACTCAAAATGCGGGTAATATTGACCTGATAAGAATCAACACCATTTATGGCATGTTTTTATTCAATGATAATCATGTGTAAATTTATATGAATATTCAAATATATGTACGTAAACAGTATTTAAGTATTGTGTTATTTCAAATAGACACATACATTTTTCTTTTCTTTCTTTTTAATTATATCTTGTACATTGAATACAATGTACCACATTGTTTAGACATGTTAACCAGTTAAAAATCATTATACATTGAACTAATTACTTTCTTAAACTAAAATGAATAGAAGGATGAATAGTATATATTTAGTGTTGTTGATATCTGACTTCTACATAAACTGCTAAATGTTTCTCTTATTTTTTACACTCATTCTATTCAATAGTTATTTATTTATTTACTAATGTTTATTGTGTTAAGTGTTGTTTAGTTACAGAGTTGTTTGTTCTTCTTTACAATAATTTTCTGTTGTTATTTGTTTCAACAAATCCAAACTGGTTACACTTTGAAAGAATAAAGGTAATGATAAATGTATCAAAAGAATAGAGAGTTATTTCATGAAAGATAAATGATCAGTATTATCATCATAGTGATGATAAAAGAAAATAGTTTAAATAATTTTTTTTTTAATTATTTGTCTTTAATGTGAATACTTTTCATAAGTTGTTATTCATCTTAGAGTAAACAGTACTGTCTAGTTTCTAAATGTACTCAGTATATATCATTTCACTTTAGTTTACGTTGGACTATATATGAATGTTTATTAATTGTATTGTATTATACATAAAATACAGTATAGTATGTATAGCAGTACATTTGTACTGCTTTATGTTACTCTTGTATTTTATTTCATATATGAATTAATCAAATGTTTAAAGTAAACAGAGTATGAAACAATATGACTTATCAATAAAATATAAAACGAACAGTTTATTTTACTAGTGAACATACAATGACTAAACAGTCACAGCAACACATTCTTTTTTCTATTCATGAAAACTATATTGATTTGTAATTATGGAATTACTATTCCAATGACTAATATTTAAAATACATTAGAATTTTTTATAAAATATAGGTCGTAATGAAAGTTTAATACACATTAGTAATATAAATATGATTATGGTTTAATGAATCAAAGGAGTTGACTTTCATCTATAGCGTCTCGGATTAAAATCATCATCCCATCCAATTAAATTGAACACAGCCATATAGTATGATTAACTATTACACAAGAAAACAAAATGTTGCTTATACTCATAAATTATTGATGATAAAAAAAATCTATTCACTTTAATTTAAACAAAAACTAAGTCACAAATAACTTACGTAACCATGTTTATCAGAAATATTATTGGTTAATTTAAGTTTATGAAAAGAGATAATTTTTTGCATCCATTGTTCACCAGTTGATGGAGAATCTGGATGAATATACATACGTTTAGGCATTTCAGGATCAGCTTTTCCTGCAACTGTCCATAAATTATTTTGAAATTTATATCGACAATCATCCAATGCTACAATATCCATTAAAACAATATATTTAGCACGTTTTTCTAAACCAGTAATTTTCACTTTGAATGGTGGAAACATTCGTCTACATAAAGAAAATAAATAAAAAAGAAATTACGTTACATTTAGAGAGAAAAATATTCAAAAGTATATGATTTCGTATAGCTCTATAGATGAACTGATTATCATCAAACTATTAAATATAAATAGCTAGTTGTTTCAAATGTGATGAAACTCAGTGAGCATCAGAAAATATTGAATAAATATTTGACTCTATTTGAAGATTCACCAACAACTCAATAAACAGTTAACCTATGTAAATAATCATATATTACAATGTTGAATATTCATATCTATCTTAAGGATTGACTTTATGTTAATTTTACTATTCTAATAATTAAAACGAATTTATTTTAATAATTGAATTTATAAGTCGATCTAAGGTAGATCACCATTGAAAAACTGGAAGGATTAGACAGCCGTTTTGTCCTAGTATTGGACTCTTCAGCAGTGAGCATTCGTGATCCTGCCTCGGTCTCCAAGAGGTATTTTCTGCAGTTCTAGTGAAAAGCAGTGACCACTGGAGTTCAACCTAGTCTGTTGTGAGATAGTAACCCACCGATGACAATGGTGGATGTGTCGCTCAATTTCGTGGATTAGTTGAAGTTAGACATTAACATCGTTGGATGCTGGCTCAATGGTCTACTGTTTAGGCGCTCGCGCATGACACTGATAAGTTTTGAGTTCGAATCTCGCGGGGAGAGGATCGTGGATGCGCAATGCGAAGGAGTCCTGTGGTAGGACGAAACGGCCGTCCAGTGCTTCCAGGTTTTCCATGGTGGTCTAGCTCCAATTGACTCAGGAATTCATCTACTAAATTATTCATATGTTATTTTTCTAAAATTAGAATCATATTACAAATCACAAATGGACTAAAGTTTAAAAACAATAATTGGTGATTAGAATCCTGATAATTTCAATTTTCATTAGTTATTAAAAGATCTCGAGACTGTCTAAGTATACTATGTTGATAAGTCATAAATCAAGCTACGATATTTTGAAATAGTTCCTTACCTCTAATTCAAGTCAAATATATATAAGAATTATTTGTAACTTATCTTATGAACATTATCAGAGAGAATAAGGATAAATAGATGACTGAAACATTATTAAATACTTCTGTTTTAGTTCAAATATAACCAACCAGAAAAATGAACATTGTACACTGAACATTTTTCATCAACATTGATTTTGATTGCATGATTTATCAGTGAAATATATAATTAAGATGGGTGTCATATATAAAGTGAAAAGATTTATAAATTACAATGTATTTCATATTTGGATAAACTATTGTTATTACGTCTACAGATAATTTGTGGCGAACCTTCATTCTCTGGTCTGTGTGGTTTAATTGGCAACATTTCATTATCCTTCTGCACATCATTTGTAGCATAAACCTTACATAAAATTGAGCTATTTGAGAATTTCACGATTAAACCACTTATTTCAGGGTTGTGTGTTACTAAGAATGATTACTTAAGAGCTGAATAATCTCAAAGAGTTGCTTAATCAATTGGGATTTGAAAGATATTTCAATCTGTAGTATAGGCAACTGACAGTCTGATAATACCACCAAGTGTTACATAAAATATGAGTAAGTGAAGTGTACATTGTTTCTACAGTAATACATCACAGATGATGACTAAAACACTCCAGTAACACAGTAGGAAGAGTGTCATAAATAATTAAAGTGATCTTTCTCATGGTTTTTTCACCAGTGAAACAATAATCAAAGCAAAAAAATCGATGATGAATATTTAACTGACGATATTACAAATATTACAAAATTATTTATCTGTCATTTAAAGGAATTGTTCTCAACAATATGATGTTATGTGGACTATCAAATAGCTTGGTTAACTTAAGTGAAATTCAGGAATATGTCTATATCACTATTGTATATTTCCTGTACCTTAAAGGATACTTGATGAACATACGAATCTGGATGATCTGTAGAATTCTTTAGATACTAAACTCTTGATCATGAGTATTAAGTTTACCTTAGTGTTTAATAGAGCAACTCATTTTATTTATATCAAGCTATGTTTTCATATGACTTCTCAGGACTTGTTACTATGACAGCATAAAGATACGCTTTAAAGATGTACATATCATTCTTAAAACATAAAAGGATTATCATTTATAGACAGTTTTAAATTTCTGATGTCTAAACAATTCTTGGTATAGAAATACACAAAATTAATGAACACTAAAACATTAAAACAATTAGACGAGATTTACATATCGCTTATTTGAATCTTCCTAATAATGTTTAGGACTGAAACCGGTCGGTCTCTTATTAGCATATGCGTATCCTGTGCAGATTGGCTCAATATTGCCCTCGGTCACAGAAATTATAAGCAAAAATAAATGGTGGTTAGCATCGGGATCCAGGACGCGTGTTTCTTCCTATTTGGGACTCGTCAGTTAGATGTACCTGCCTCCCAAAGTTGGTGTTCACTCAGGGACTCTAACCTAGTGTTGTTTGTTTCAAACACCGACGGATTATCCATTTAACATCCTGGGTTCTATTGCTAATCACCATCATCTCTGCATAACGTAAGACGAAATGTATACATATAAACATGTGTGTATAAAAGTATTGAAATATTTATAATCCATTTTTGCTATTAACAAATTTTTTTTTAATTTTCTACAAGAAAAATGTACTGCAATTAACAGTATCATCTTTTAAATCTCATTGTTCAATTAGTTTATCGGAACGATGCACATATTAATATTGAGTAGGAGTACTTAATGAAAGCATATTTTTCTCAAAAAGTCTCTTTTCGTGTTTTCCTAATTAAATGATAGAGAAAAAAAATTAGTTCATTACAAAAAGCCACACAAACATTGAATAATTTAACCCGCATAAATATTTAACCCGTTTTCAAATGAAATGGGTTTATTTATTTATTTATTGTCCTTCCTTTCTTTTTCTCTCTCCCTTACTTTTTATTTGCCTCCAGTTAATTGACCACCGAATTAACAAATGCATTTATCACATCATCTCATGTCTATCATAATTATTGAAATAAGTTTAACCGGCTTTATTTATTTTCACTTTTATTTTTGAAGCGTGTAAATGGGTACACATTCAAAATAAGGCTAAACATTAATTTATGGTAGAATTAATGAGAAACCGTTAAGATTATACTCGTCACTTGGTCGTTATTATTATTATTATTAATAATAATAACAATAATAATGTTAGTATCATTAACTTTTATGGGCGTCACAAGCATATTTCTCTCGTCAATCCTATAGGGTAGCAAAAAAAAATGAACAAATGAACTGTTTTCCTTTTAGTATCTTTTGTTTAAATTATATAAAAATTTTAGTTATTCTTATTTACTTGGTTTATTAGCTCTGAATTCTTTCATTCAATATAATAATCAGATTAATTTTCTACCAACATTTTTGTTTGTTTTTTGCAGAGGATAAAAAATGGCACCGAATAAAAGAAAATATTTTTCCTAATAAATGCATGAAATGAATTTGGAAAGATATATACATATTGAGTGTGTGTGTGTGTGTGAAAGGGAGAGCATTTAATCATGTATATTAATGTATTGTTATTTTTTTGCGTAGGAAAAGAGATTAGAGTAATCTCAAGACTTGCTAAATATAGAAAACTGACAACATTTTTTTTTATTAATCAGGTAGTAAACAACTAAGAATAAAACTACTTTATTACAATAAAAATCATATATATTTATATAATTGTTATCTATCAAATCCTAAATTCCTATTTTCCATTATCTTTGTGATTTGATGTCATCATGACAATAAGTTGAAAGTGACAATCATCTATGCAGCTATGTAAAACTTATTTTCTTAATTATTCATAGAAAAATGTTTGGGAAATTAATTGAAAAATTATTATTTGTGAACAACTAACAACAAAAAAAAACTTTTGCAATGTATATCATTAATAATATACAAGGAAATTACTAAGACAATCTAGAAATAGATTATCTTAATGAATAGAAGTTACAATGATTAGAATCATCTTTAGATATTACTGTTATATATTAGTTATGCTTATTATATTTATAAAGAGTTATTCAATTGAATTCAATCATAATTTTAGTATAATTGAATTACTGGTAAAAGTTTTTAGTATCCAATTATTGATATTCAGTTCTGTTTTTGATTAATCTACGTTGTCATGTGTTTATTCTAAGTGATTATTGATTCGATATGATGTTTTATTTCATAGGTTTTAGTAATATTTAGTACATGGATAACAGAGAAGTTGATGGCTTTAAGTAGAAATTACAGGATTTATGTTTTAATTCAAACATCAGTATTTTGATGCAAGTACATTGAGTTTCTTACAAAATGAAGTATGAGTCCTGAATTTCACAAAGTATACCAAAACTTAATCTAATTTTTATTTGTCAACTAAACTGTAATTTGGATTTTCATAGTTTTCACCTATTATCAAACTGTTTTATATCACGAAGACTGTTTAAAATTTACATATATATTTATATTTATAATCTTAGTATGGTTACATTTCAAAACCCATTATTTCTTTTATAAATTTCATGTCATTCATCTTGAGTATCAAACCGAACTGTTGCCTAAAAAAACAGCTTTACCTACCCATTTTCCGATGAACAATGAGAAGTGCAATGTTCTAAAAAGATACTATTTGTTATTACTTGCTATCAGACAGTACTAAGTAAGATTTTTCATATATTTATAATTGTTAAAGTCATGTATAGGTATGAAGATGAGCATCATGTAATGACGATAAGGAATTATAAACTAACTTGTTATTATAATATAATAGATCATATATAAACTGATTTGTAATTGAATATCAGTTATAATAGTTTTTCTATTTCAAAAAATGACTAATATTTTCCTAAAGAAAATCTTAGCTGACATTATGAAATGATTGAAGTTAAGTAAATTTTCTATATAAAGATTTCGTAATGGAATAAGTGTTACCAAGGGAAAAAACCATGAAAGAATTAAAATTATGTAAGATTTAGTAACAATGAAATAGTT